TTATATCATGTGTTTTCCAAACCTGTCGCCTTTTAAGAGGGGACTCAATCCCACCCCAAAGCCCCCCCCCCGGCCTGGGGGGAGGGGGGGAATTCTGGGAGTTGAAATCCACTCATCTTAAAGTGGCCAAGTTTGGACAACACTGATCTAGAATGTCTCAAATAACAGACTTTACATTTATGAGATTTTTAACTATACCACATTAATTGATCTTTCAGAATATATTTTTTAAGCCATTCGTTTTGCTTATAATGTCAAATCAAGTTTAGCATGGAAATGAGTCTAGGTGAGCCTTAAACTCATGTGCAGCCACAGAAAGTTTGATTTACTGTGTCATTCAAGCATGTCAAGCCATTATTAATCTTATGTACAGTAGTTGAACCTGTGAGCTGTGTTTTATAGTAACTTGTTTGCCTTTGCAGAAGTTAGGGTTAGGAAAATACATTTATCTTTGACCCATCTAAAACCAAAGCAAAAGCTTCACCACACCACACACAAGCCCTTAACATTCATTAAGGTTTCCCCTGGTAATGCCACATCATATTTAGTCTGAATTATGTGCCATCTGAAATGGTGTATGCAGAAGCACTTTTATGTCAGAGATACTGTTACTGGGTTTGATATTCCTGCCTGAACTTTTACAAATGTTCCTTTGAAGGCATGTTCCAAATGGATTTTTGCATTTCTAATGGAGTTTGACTCAAGAATTGCTAAAAAGAACAGTACTGTGGAAGACCTTTTTCATCTGATGATAACATTTAACCAAATGTTATAACCAAAAGGTGTAACCAAAAATAAATCAGAGTTCATACAAATAAATAGTTCCATCACACCGAAAAAAAGTACAGTGATTGTTGGAACATCAACACTAGCATCAGATTACATCTTGTGATAGATGATACTGAAAGGAGGGAAAAAATAGAAAGATGACAGAATACCCTGACTTCCTACTTATTATTATTACATTTTTATTCTGCCTCCCCCCATATATAAATATATATAAAATATATAAATATAAACTTAAGGTGGCAAACATACCTAATACTGCATCTTATTTTCCCCACAATAATAACTCTGTGAGGTGGATTGGGCTGAAAGAGGGTGACTGACCCAAAGTCACCCAGCCAACTTTCATGCCTAAAGAGTAGGCTTAGAACTCGGTCTCCTGCTTTCTAGGCCAGCACCTTCATCACACCACCAGACTGACTCTTTTAAGGGTACCCTCAAATACCCTTCTCCAGAGATGGGTGCAGCAGGGATGTACATAGAAGTGGACAAGTTTGTCTTGTTAAATAAAAGGCTACTTAATAAGTAGTTAAGCCGTACTTAATGGATGAAGTTGGAAATATTTTCTTTTTTCTTTGGGCAGCATGAATGCCATAGGAATGTTTCTCTTTTATACTTCCCCAATTGTCACATGAAGGCAATAGGTAGCTGCTAAAAGTATAACATGTCTATACTAGAGAGATCTGATCAACCGAGATGTGGATATTAGAGTAGCTGGTCTGCTTTCTTAGTACATTGAGATCGCAACAGGCCTTTTACTTTCGTACTACATTAATAAAATGGATTAATTTACCTGCCTTCTCAAGCAAAATAATACAATTCCTCATGTATAATAGTCTTGAAGGTCTTACATTCTGCAGTTTGAAGGGGTAATCTGTATATATGGAAGAAAAAAGTCATTTAATAAAAAATGTTCATTATATCCTAAGGGGTAGATAGCATGTTTTTTCTTTTTAATCTAAAAATGTCTACAAAAGACTTCTTAAAATTGTTTTTTTGCTAGCTTCACTTTAGATTTCGTATCTACTGTATATTCCAGGATTTACATTGGAAACTAATAAACAATCTCCTGTTCCTTTTGCTGAGAACAGTAAATGTAGGCAGAGTCTGCCATTAAGAAACCAACTCTATTCAGAATATATAATAACAATGAGACTATAACTTGAGATGTTTTCAGATGTGGTATAAGGATGCTGTGGCAGAAAAAAAGATGTCTAGGCAGATATGGCTAAGATCTTAACTACCTTCTGTAACGTTTTCTTGCTTCACTTTTCCTGTGGATTTTTGAAAGCTGATATTCCTTTTATTGGGATGGCTTTTTCAAGAAGTGAAAGGCTGAATTTCCTGGTGGGAAAATGGTATCTACCAAGCAAGGTTCATTAGGCTACAGCAATTTACCTCCCCTTGGAAAGTGGAAGCTCATGTGGGACTTTACATTCACACTGTGCAGGGACGAACCCTTTCAGTCTTTCTGGCTGAGATTCCTTACCTGCTAAGGAAAAGATACAAAATGAATACATGTTTAATAGCCTTTGGTAAAGTGAATCTTGAAATTGATGCTGGCTATCTTGGGTTTATGGATGTTAGGATTCTGAAATGATTCAAAGTTGTGGCAGGCACTGAGAGATTCTTGATTAGGAATATGTGCTAAAAATGAGCAGTGATGTTTCAATAATTACATTGAGTCAATTGTATTTCCAGTTTTTTTTTTTTGTGATGTGAACCTTTATTCATAGAGGAGCTTCCTGTTTCTATTTTACAGCTTACTGTGTAAGTGTAACTTTCAGGATAATAGGGGTAAGATTGGGAAAGGTCTAGGTAAGTTTCTTACGTGCAGAATCTATGAACACAGTTTCAGGAGTTGCTGAGTAGCATACTTCCATTAATATACTTCTTGAAAGTGTATACAATCCAAGATAGTTCATAATCCAAAATGTCTCACATATTTTGTCAGCCTACTGGTGTCAGTTTGCAGTACTTGCTTCCAAACCTAAAAAATGTAGCATGTTGGGCAACTGTGGAACAACAAATTATGCTATACTAGAGTTCCCAGCATCCCTAGGAAGACTGGTCACCATGCTGGCAATTTAATTTAGCTCAGAGATAGGTCAAGGCCTTGTTTGCATTGTATCTCTGGAAATGGGTAAGATCCACTTTAGATTTTCTTCCTCCTCTGGACACAGAAAAGGGAGTGGGGGTACTGCCTAATTAAATCATGTACATTAATTACATGGAATAAATATAAAATAATGGAATGGCGTTACGCTTTTAGCTGAGAATTATGAGTGATTTTTCCATATGGGAACTGTTCTGAGAAGCACTCTGAAGTCTCACCTTCGTCCAAGATTGAATACTGTCTGCCACCCTATAATAAGGGGCAAAGTATTGCTGCTAGATCAAAAATCAGCCCCCATCCAGTTGTATGTAAAGAAGCACAAACCTTCTTAGATTTCAATTCCTTTGTGTGTTGTTTCAATTGTATATAGCAAATCTATAGTTGAATGCCCCCTTTTTTCCCTTGAGATCTAGAGATGATTTTCCTTTTCATTAAAAAGAGAGTTCTGAAATGAAAGGATTACATTTAACTGAAGTGATATGATTGCCCCTTTTCATGATGTAGATTGTGAGTTTCCAGCATTTTCAGAAATCCAGTGGTACCTGATATTTAAGCATAACATATTGGCAGAGCCTGTTTCTATAAAATGAAATGAAAAATGTCCAGTCTCAAAGTCACATACTGGCTTCAGGATTTTATGAGCCCATAGACTTGCAGAATAATTTTATGGGTCCAAGAGATAATTGTTTTAAAATACCTTTAAGAAATTTCCTTTTTTTCATAGTCACAGTATGTAAACACTATCATACATTTTTATTTTTTTGAAATTAATAAGTTGCATTAATACTGTGAATTTCATTTTGTTATTGGTCATTATTTTCCCTCTGCAGCTGAAAATGGTGAAGGCTTCCATATAATTTTGAAGTGATGTTGCCATATGTATCACAGACTGATAATCCAGTTGAAAAATGAAGTCATCAAGAATGGCGAATAACATCAAGTCTCTTCAGGGATCTGACTTCACAATATAGAATGTTTCATATTGAAAACACAAGTTGACCTTCTAATGAGCTGTTTAGTAAATGAACTTATCACTGCCATAGCCAAATGTCCTCATTAGAGGTAGAAAAGACATAACAGGCATGGAAAAAAGCAAAATAAATAAAGGTGTTTGCCCTTTTTTAAAAAATATAAAACAAATCAGGCAAGCTATGGCCAGTAGATGCAGTTTCTAGAAGCAGTACTGCTTTCCTATTACACTGTATCCAGTTTGAATGTAAACTTATACTGGGCATTTATCTTTCTGTGCCAGTTTGTCTATTACTTGCTTGTACTTTTATGCTGGTTTTATTTTTTGATGTTAGCAGAGCACATAGTAATTTGTGTGGAGATAAGTAGTACGATACTAGCAATCAGGTTTGGGGTCTTGAGAGTAAAGCTGTCAAAACAGCATTCTCTGTATAAATTGTGTATAAAGTGTGAATTTAAGAAGTGTAAATGTCAGAGTTGGGCTTCTTGTTAAAGTCCTAACCAGATGAAAATTAAGCATGCATCAGAACACATTACCATTAGTACCTAATTGAGAGGTTTATAAAATAAAACCTCTGAGGTACAGTATTTTGCTTTGCAACAAATTCCTTGAGAAAATTTGCCTATGCATCATGTTCTTAGTTTCTTGAATGATACACTCCTGCAGTTATACTTTTTTTTTGAAACCACTCTGTAAAATAATAGTTGAAACTTCCTCATGGAGAAAAAGGAAATGTAATTGTCACCAAGGCTCAATATTGAAATTAAACAAGGATCCATAAGCCAAACAATACCTTTAAAAAAAAATATAGGTGCAGCCCTGCATTCCTCATGTTCACTCCCAGGTGACAACTGTCACTTCCTTTTTTTCTCTGGCTGTAGTGGAAAGACCAGTCTTAGTGCCTATTCCATACAACCAAATACTTGACTAGCAGTTGCACATCTTAATGAACTGTACAAATGTCTTTAAATGTTACCTGAAGATCAGAGATCTCTAGAGGAATAACATTTTACTCTTCTGGATTGTGTATTAATATATGTACTTGTGGGAAATTAAGACACAGAAGGTAGGTTACTTCATGACCTTGTTGTGGACTTGCCTTTTTATCAGCTTAAATCTTGAATAGTGTAGTGAACATTGAAAGGGTGAAAATGCCGCATGTCAAGTAATGTTTTTGATTTCAGTTCCATTTTTAATTATGCCTAAGTGAAGTGCTTAACTCCAACTATTCTAAGAGAGTAAGTTAATTACTTGTATTTGGATGAATGCTTGTTCCCCTATTTCTCCATGACCTATACTATTCTGCACTGATGGGGAGGGAGCATAGTTTGTGAGCATAAACTGTTTTGAGTTGTTCTTGCCTATAAATTATTTTTGGTTGTATTTGGGTGTCTTCAGTTGACTTGATGTGTCATCTCAACACCATTTTTCAAATTTGTGGAGAATCTTTGAAAATTTTAAAAGCTGTACAGTAGTTTTGTTCACTTGGATTTAATTAATGGCACCAGCAAATTGCTTTTTGTTTTTAAATAAGATATATACATTTCAATTTCAGTAAAATCATTTTCCAATAATTTTGTAAACATTTTTCCTTCACTTTTTGCAATATGTATTAGAAGCATAGGTGATACTGAGATACATGATTTAGAAAAGTGTGTCATCCCTTTCAGTTGGAACTAGAATGAGCACTGGTTTAAAAGAGATAAATGTGCATATACTCAGTTGAACTGAATGTGCTGCTGATTTAAAAACAATAGAGTTTATGCTGACTTTCCACTATGGGTTTTAAAATGATTGAAATACGTCTAAATATGGATGCCTTTATTTCACTAGTAACCAGTATCAAGTTATCTGACTGGAGCAAGCATCTGTTTAACAATTTCAATTTCGTGAACACTCTTTAGAGAGTCAAACACATCAAAACAATTTCATTTGACAACCTAATATTTCTCTTCACAGTTTAATTACCATAGACAAATAGCAAATCATACAGATGGGTTGCTGCAGGATATTCCTCTACAGAAATGCAAATATAATGTATATTCGTGTGCTCAATAGATTTTTATTTTATTAATCATTAAGTAATCATCAGAATATCAACTAGAATGCATTGCAAATATCTGATTCACCCTTTAACTGAATATAATACTTTCTTCAAATTTAGAGTGCTGATTAACTTTGAAATGGTGTATTCTATAACTTTGGTTCTCTATCATGCCCTTTTCCTTATTTTTTTTAAAAAGTTGCTTAAAAGTGCTTCCATTTTTCCCAAATGAAACTTAAAAAATGTATTACCTTATACAAGAAAATTTTAAGGATGTGGCTGAGGACTGAGTTATATTGAATACATTGCTTAGACTATGGCTTACTGCTAGGTGACAAACATTTGGATATACTGCTGCTCCTCCTTCACAACTGCAAGGTGATCAGAAGCCTTTAACTGCAATTAATTGAAAGCAAAATCCAGTAAAGAAACCCTGGTTAATTCTAATGGATTGCTAAAACAAGACTTAAGTTGGTTGTAATAAATTATAAGATTACCCACAGTTTAAAATTGTCAGTGATTGAAAGTAGAAGCAAAAGAGGTGATTTCTTTCCAGTTACAAGAGTTGAATGAAAAGTACAGGTAGTCCTCAACTTACAACCATTTAGTGACTGTTCAAAGTTAGGACGGTGCTGGAAAAAGTGACTTGCAGCTGGTCCTCACATGACCATCGCAGTGTCCCTGTGGTCATGTGATCCATTCACTTGGCAACCATTGTGCATTTATGATTGTTGCAGCGTCCTATGGTCATATGACCACCATTTGTGACTTCCCAGCCGGTTTCCAACAAGCAGTCAATGGGGAAGCTGGCAGGGAAGGTTACAAATGGCGATCGCGTGATGCCTTGCTTAATAACCACAGCAAAAAAGGTCGAGAATTCTGGTGCAGTCACATGATCCCTCATTTACTGACTGTACCACTTGATGAATTTCCCGGCTCCTATTGTGCTCATAAATCGAAGGCTACCTGCAATGCCTCCAATGTTGTAAATGCCAACAGATGGCAGTACTGATGCACAAGAAGCTCTGACATGTTCTTTAGTGTTTGTTCTGTCACGGGTGAGTAGAAAGCTGCTATGAGAAAAGGATGTATTGTTTGTGAAATGGAAGCCTATTGTGAGTACTTACCAGTGTGATTTAAGTACACTATAATTGAATCTTAATTGCTTACATGAGTCCCCCCAACTGAAACTCACCACTGTTGTTTGTGGTGATGACTGATATGAGTATTGTATGTTAACATGAGTGTTGAATTAAGAACAATTGGCAGATCGCTCTGAGGGAAACTGCTATCAAGTTTGGCATTTCACAGGAACACATCAATAACTTTACTATTGGTCTTCAGTACTGGAACGTTTGTGCAAGATGGTTTCTTCACACGCTGACAGCAGAAATGAAAAGTTCAAGACTTGAAATTTGCCAGCAAATTAGTTGAGGTGCTATAAGAATGAAGGAGAATTTATTCACAACATCGTGACAGCCAATGAAATGTGAGTTTGTCATTATGGACCAGGAAAAAAGTGTCAGTCCATGGAATACCATCACAAAACTTCACCTACAAAAAATAAAAAATTCAGACTTCAGCAGGAAAACTCATGACTAGTTTTTTTGCTGCACAGATTGTGTTATTCACATAGATTTGCTTGAACCTGTAACACTCAAAACTTTGAAATAATGATTAAGCAGCGTTTGGAAGCCCAAGGAAATATTTCAGTAATTTGACAATGCTAGACCTTGTACCTCAAGAGCCACTCAAGAGGCAGCGATGAAACTGGATCTCACCATCTTACCCATCCGCCATATAGTCCAGACTTGGGGCCACATGACTTTCACATTTTCCCAAAATCGAAGGAATATCTTCACAGGCATCTGCTTGACTTAAATGAAGAGGCAAAAAGATTGTCAGGACCTGAATGAACAGGCAGTATGGTAGTCTTTCATGATGGCTTTAAGAAGTGTGTCCTTTGCTGGCAGAAGTGTGTAATGACTCGTAATTATGTGGAGATGTAAATACAGGTAACAAAAGAGCTCATTTCAAGGATTATTTTC